AACAGGTGAGCTCTCTGGGAACACATCTCAAAGAAGAACGAGGATGAATGTCAGACTTGTATCAACTGTCCCCTACCCCCGCCATTTCATCCCCAGTTTTCTCCCAGACCATCCTAGCCTCCCAACACTTTCCCAAGAGCCTACTTTGAAAAGTAAAATCCACCTTTTACCTATTGCAGAATCTTCAGAATATGTTCACCTCCTCCTCAGCCTAATAAAGTAGCATTGCCAACCCTGCTGATGGCAGTTAGTTTTTGGGTCAAGCACGCCAACATGCCCCCATTTACACACACACACACACACACACACACACACACACACTTAACTTTGGGGAGTATAACATACCCAAAGTTTGTTAATAAGCCTGAAAAATCAATCTGAAAAAAATAGCAGCGGGCAGGCCTAACTTCCAACTGGAATTTGAAATCAAATCTGTTACTCTACAAAATCGAAACATCACCAGTGGAAAGAAATGTTTAGGCTTCTATTGCATCCTTCAGATACTAGAAAAGTGAATATCAGTTTGGTTTGAGTTTCTATCCTAGCAGCTCTGACATTAAAAAATAAATAAATAGAAAGAAAACCACAGAGATGTAGGGATTCGTTTAGCAAACAGCTAAACAGAAAGAAGCAAAAATGTTTTTGATTTAATATATCTTCCGACACATGTAAGAGAAACGTTGAATCAGTATGGGTCTTCGCAAAATGCATCCTGATGGTTGCCTCTATCTAGAAAGTGAAACAAGAGATGTTTTACTGCCTCCCTGGAGACTCTCATGATTTACAAAGAATATCCTTCAGTGAAGCACTTATCCATAAATGGCTAGCCTGGCTGTCCATGACTCCAGAGCTCACGGCAGGCCCCTGAGACCACCGGCGTTCTTTCTGGACCATGTATCAGGGAGACAGGAGGAATGTGACCCACCAAGCTGTGCTGGGCTTTCCCTTAAGGCAAAAAGAAGGGAATTTAACACGGAGCCCACGAGGTTGGTTTGCCTCAAGAAAAAAGAGGGGGAAAAGGCAGAGACGGAATTGAAGCTGATACATATATAGGGTCTGGGCTTACAAAGCCAGAGGACCAGATTCAGAAAGCACATAGCTACGTGTGCAGTGCCCGGGGCAAAGCACAGAGAGATGCGGTCTGTGGTCCCAGGCTCTTCCTCAATCAGTAAGCACTGTCAAGAAAAATGACTAAGAGAAAGACAGGACAAGCACGTCAATGGAATACTTATCTTACACTGCATTTTCATTGTTAATTCAACCACATTTAACAAGAAACCATAATACCAGCTCTGAGCTACTTGTATCTTATTTCTGAAGGAACAATCAACGGCTTCTCTCCCAAACTCCTGCCAAGCCTGGCATCTGGCCCAGTAGTTAAGACACCAGGGGCAATGCCCGCATCCCTCTCTGCATTCAACGCCTGGTCCCAGCTCCTAACTCGAGCTTCCTGCCAATGCAGACCCCAGGATGGCCATCCCCGGGGCAGACCTGGAGTGGAATCCAGATAGTAGGTTTTGGCCTGGCCCAGCTCAGCCCTGGTCACTGTGGCCATCTGAGGAATAAGCCAGGGGATGGGCACTCTTCTATGTTTTTGAGATTCTCTGCTACTCAGAGCAAAAACCAAACCTTGGTCTCTTCAAGGAACAGGCTTAAGTCACCACTGGGAATACCACATTCCTCTGTAGAGTAACTAGTCCTCGTGCCCACTGTTCTGCTTCCAAGCCAGTTTTGTGCTAACATCCGTCCTGGCAGGCAGCAGGTGACGGCTCAAGCACTGAGTTCCTGCCACTTACATGTAGACGGATGAAGTGGAGGGCTCCTGGCTTCAGCCTGCCTACCCCGGCAATGGAGTGAATTTGGGGAGTGAACCAGCAGATGGAAGATATGTGTCTATCTGTCGATCTCTCAAATATCTTAAAATAATTTGTTAAAGTCAAGAGAAAGAATGTCAGTTATAAACTTGGATAATATGGGTTCTAGCCCCCAAATGCTGATGCAAAGAATGTCACTTTATTTATTTTTACTAACTTACATTCTTAGTGTAGTGGACTTCTTCCTCTCTCTTGCTGGTCTCCATATGCTGCCCAAATGAGACATAAGCCTTGGGACTTACAGTTCTTAATTCTCCACACAGTAGGAACTTTGATTCTCCCCTCCCCCGAGACAGGCAAAGTATCAACAAACAGACCCCTGTTAAGATGGTGATTTTATTTTGTGGGGAAAAGCAACCTCAATCTGCCACGACCCTGGAGCCCTCCTCTGCAGAAGGTCCGGCTGAACATCTCTGCATTTCTCTACAACACTTGAAGGAGAGAACTTAAGAATCCCAAGGGCAGGGATTTAGCCTAGCCTAGCCTAGCCTAAGCGGCTCAGCTCCTGTTCACAGCTTCTCGTTAGTGGGAGTAGAGGTGATGGTTCAGGCGAGCAGAGCCTTGCACCTGCCCACATGGGACCCCTGGACTGAGTTCATGACTTTCCTGGCCTTCTGCCCCAGTACAGTGTCGATGCTTGCTGGCATTTTGGCAGTAAGCTAGTGGATGGGAGAGAGCTTATGCTCTTGCTCTCTCTCACATGCTCATTTGTTTGTTTTCAAATATCAGAACTGGGAAAGCAGTACCAATAGCTGTATACACACACACACACGAACACATATTTCATTGTCACCAAGGAAAGCCGACAAGCCAATGGTATGAAGTACATTCAGCGATATGATGTCACCACAATAACTGATGGCAGGACACAGCTACAGTGTCTAAACCGTCCAGCTCCTCACAGGGAGCCAGTGAAAGTCCCCGGGAGTCATGCCACTTCCCCAAGGACTGCTCAGTGCCAAGCCAGGCTTGAGACCCTCGGAATGACCTCACTAATGACATCAGCAGGGGCTCCTCACCCCCTGACCTGCCCCTCGGAATGCTCTGAAGGAATTCAGACCCACTGGTTCAGCACTGCCTGGGCAGAACATCTGGCATCTGTAATCGTCATGCGTGTTCTGACGATGTTGAACACAGCTGAGTTCCCCACCAACTCTGCTGCATGGCAACATGCCTTAGACGAACTTGGAATGGATTAAATATTTATCTATTGGGCACTTTAACCACAAAGTGTGGCGGGCAAGTCCAGAGAGCTTATCCTTTTAGATGAAATTACATAGGACCTCAGCTCGGGCAAAAAAGAAAAGGGAGGAGCACAAAAAGGCTAGATCCCATCCTGTGTTGATTCCACCGCCAGTGGTCTGACAATGGGTAGCTAAACTGGCCGACCCTCCCACACAGAGCCTTCCTCCAATGCCAGGAACTTCCAAGGTTATCCATTCAGGGAGCTTGTGTCTTGCTTACCTCTGAGGTTGACTCCTGTGAGTTCACATCCAAAAAGTGTTCAACAACAGGGTGGTCCCTGCCAGCATTAAGCAAGCCAATGTCACAAGGCCAGCCAGCGAGGACTCCGGCCCTGTCCCATCCATGGTGGCTTCCAGTCTCAGCCCACCAAAGCACCTGTGTATTGCTCCCACAGTTAGCAACACAACACTCTTCTCTCTCCAATATTCTGCTAGTTCCTCCCCTTCTGAATTCAGTGCTCACTGTTCACCCATTTCTGAGCTAAACATTAGCCCTGAATGTGAGGGTGTTCCCTGGAGTAATTAACCCACTGCATTTTTCCCACTTTTCCTCTACTCTTATTTTTTAAAATCTCTAATATTTATGCTGAAAATTCTAAAAAACAAAAACAAAAACAAGTCTAACTCCAGTCCTGGCCTCACTCCCTGAGCCCTAACACTGGGACAGTGACCTGTCCCACAGACTCACTGCTCTGTCCGCACTGGAAGGGCTCCTGAATCCCCAGTAGCCCTGCATTGCCCACTGGGTACCTCCAGCCGGAAACAGAGCCTCACCAAGCCTCGGGGAAGAGGTGTGAGTGAAGGGCAAGCACTTGGCAGATGAGGTTAAGGCTGAAAGATCAGTATCCTGTAACTCCAGCTGCTGTTCACAGGCCTGTCTGTGGGACCAGCAGGTGGAACGCGCGCGCGCGCACACACACACATCTCTGACCAGCAGGTGGAACACAAACACACACAAACACACACACACACACACACACACAGCTCTAACCAGCAGGTGGAACACAAACACACACACTCTCTCTCTCTCTCTCTCTCTCTCTCTCTCTCTCTCTCTCTCTCTCTTCCAGCCTGCTTTCCTCTCTCCCCTGCTCAGAAAGCCCTTCCTTCTCCCCTCGCTCTCCCATAATCACCACTCCTAGAGCATCTCTTCCAGACGCCTCACCGCCTGTGTCTCCGCGCGCGGGGGTGTGTCTGGCCCTGTTTGTTTATGTGCCTGTCTGGGGACCCACGACAGACCCTTAGCTCCCCCAGCCCCAGGCCAACGCGAGAAGGACCCCGGGGGCCGCCGCTCACAGCCCGGCAGGGGCTAGCCAGGGGCGGTCTAGCTGGATCCATCTGGAGGCGCGCGGGGAGGGGCCCGGCCCAGCGCCCAGGGCGCAGCATCCCTGGAGGTGCTCCGGCAAGCCAGGCAGTTGGTGGGAAGCAGGACTAGCCCCTCTTCCTCCCCGGGACACTCCCAACCCTAAGTCGGAGGGAACTCAGGTGAGGTCTCGGGGAACAGCGCAGACCCTGCGGTGTCCGACCCAGGAGCTTTGGCGAGGGCCTCCAGGCCTCCCCACGCCCACTTGCTCCCGCGCTCCAGACCCTGAGGCCGCCGCAGCTCCCTCCGCGGGCGACCCTCTCAGAACGACAAGAGGGGCTGGGGTAGAGCTTGGGGGGCCTGGGCTGTGGAGAGAGGAGGGGCCCGGAGAGGGCTGGAGGGCCCTCAACCCACCTCGCGCTCCCTGAGGCGGGAGGAAACGGAGCGGCGAGAGCGTCCCCGGTTCCTCGCCTCCACGTCACCCCACCCCAAAGACCCAGAGCCCCCCGAGGGAGGCCTGGCAACCTCCAGGGGTCACAGCCTCGGCCCTTCCGCCTCCCTCCCCTGCGCCCTCCCTACCTGGCTGGCTTTGTGAAACTGCTTCTTCAGCCCAGCCACCGACATCGCGACTGCGCCTGGCCGGAGGCGGCTGGTCTCGGGGACGGCGGGGCGGGGGGCGGCTCGGGCGGGCTGGGAGAGCGGGCGGCCGGGCCGGTCCCGGCGCCGCTGGGCGCCGCTGGGCTCCGCCGGGCCCGCCTCCCACGGCCACGGCCGCTGTCACACTCGCACACACGCGCGCACGCAGATGGCAACACGGCGTCCGGAGGCCCCTGCGCAGCCCATTGGACAAGCCGCGGCGGCGTGCGAACGAGGCCGCCCCCGCCTCATTGTTGCGTGGAGATCCTGGGGGCGGGAGGACGGGGGGCGGGGGAGGAGAAGCCGGCGTCGGGTGGTGGTCCTCGGGTTCGGGGAGCAGAGCCGCGCGGGGCGTCTAGCCGAGCAGGAGCCGCACGGGCTTGGAGATTGTCTTGGTGGGGAGAGGGAGGATGTGCTTCTTGGGACTTGATGCGAAACCTGGCTTGCTCAAAAGCAACGTCGCTTTCTTCCGGCGGGTTTCCCTTGGACAGCAGACGCGAAGGGGCTGGAGAAATGCGGCGGGACTGGGATCTGCGGTAGGAAAAAGGGTCGCCTTTCCCAGGTGCCCTCCCAACCCCGAAAGATTTGAGCCACCTGAGAACCCTGAGAGGACTGGGTAATTTGCCTTAAATTATGGTCAGCTCGCCCCGCTGGTGTGCTGACCCTACCTTCGACTGCTGCCTCCGAGGGGTCATTCATCAAGCCAGGGTCTGCCTGGCTTCCTTGCTAACTCCAGTAGGAGCCAAAGTCCAGAAGGGAGTCCACTGCCAGAAGGAACAGAGGCCAGCATCATCCCTGAATCTGGCCTCCCTACAGTGAATCACTAGCCCCATTTCCCGCCCCCTTGAGCTGGCAGCCCCAAGCCAGGATCTGTTCCTTATCCCTGACTTGCTGCATCCTAAGGAGGATCCAGCCAGTCCCTGCAGTGTGTGCCAAGCAGGGAGCTGGATGGGAGGCAGAGCTGCTGGCACCCATATGTGATCCCAGCATATTCAAGGTGAGGACTTTAGCCACTTTAGCCACTAGGCTATCATGCCGGGCACCTCCTTGTATTTTTTAAAGCAGCTTGTTGCCATTGCTTCCATGGTTGTCCAATGCCTTGCTTCTGTTACTTGGGGTTATTTGTCTCTTTAATCAAGCACAAAATGGTGGCACATATTTGCATCGTGTTTGAACTTAAGAAGCTTTCACTAATGAGAAGGTTTTTCTTAACCTTCTCAGCCATCTGACTCCTTGGAACCTTCTCAATAGTACTTGAACTTCAATTTTTTTTTTCTAATTGACTCATCATTATTATGGATTTTTTTTCTCTTCTTTTCTCTTTTTAAGATTGATTGATTTGAAGGCCTGGCATAGTAGTCTAGCAGCCAAAGTCCTCACCTTGCACTCAGCGGGATCCCATGTAGGTGCCAGTTCTAATCCCGGCAGCCCTGTTTCCCATCAAGTTCCCTGCTTGTGGCCTGGGAAAGCAGTTGAGGACGGCCCAAAGCCTTGGAACCCTGCCCTCATGTGGGGAGACCCTGAAGAGGCTCTGGGCTCCTAGCTTTGGATCGGCATAGCATCGGCCGTTGTGGCTACTTGGGGAGTGAATCAACAGACAAGAGATCTTTCTGTCTCTCCTGCTCTCCATATATCTGACTTTCTAATAAAAATAGATCTTTTTTAAAAAGGAATGATTGATTTGAGTTACAGAAAGAGGTATCTTTGATCTACTGGTTCAGTCCCCAAAGCCAGGCACCTGGAACCCCACCTGGGTCTCCCGCTTGGGTGGTAGAAACCCACACTCTTGGGCCATCTTCTGCTGCCTTCCCAGGCGCATTGGCAGGGAGCTGGATCAGAAGTGAAGCAGCCCATTCCGGTGCCCATATGGGGTGTGAGTGTTGCAGGCAGCTGCTTAATCCACTGCACCACAACGCAGGACTCCTCTTCCTTGTCTATTCCTGTACATTCCTTCTTGTGCTTTGCTCACATGAGCAGTCGTGGGTCAAGGTCATCACAGCAGAAGCCCAGTCTGGCTGACATAGGCTGAAAGAAGCAGGTCAGGCTGCCGGGAGATTCACCAAGGGATGTAATATGAGGAACGCGGCAGGGATGTGTGCAGAAACCAGAATTCTGGATGTTAGAGTCTGAGGTATCTGGTAGCACTTTGGGTGTGCTGGCCCTGCCATTGGGCACCAAATGTGGCTGACAGATTGCAGGCCATGTCCAGGCTCTCACTGCTTGAAATGTGATCAGACTCCAGTGTGGCAATCATGCTGAACCCCCCAAACTCAGCTGAGCCTCCAGAAACTCAGCTGTCCCTCACAAAATATTAGCTACAAACAGCAATAAACAAAAGCCCCCTAAAGCCCGAATCTCTTTATGCTCTGTAATGGCACGTATACTTTATTTTTATTCACTCAAGTTTGTAATTGACATGTATAAAACTATGAATTTTCTTCCTGAGAACAGCTTTGGAGTCATATGTTGCTTTGCTAAGTACTATAGATTTTTCAGACTGTTCTCCAAAAAAGCTTGCAATTACATTTTTTAAACAAATGTTTAAAGCAGATATTTGAAAGGCAGAGCAAGAGAGAGAGAGAGAGAATGTGTGTGTCTGTGGCAGACGGTGTGCTCCCATCAGCTGGTTCATTCCTAAAATGACTACAGCAGCTAAGGCTGAGCCAGACCAAGCCAGGAACCTGGAACTGCATCCTGGTGCATTGGCAGGGCACTACTGCTACCCAGCTCCCTGCCAACGCACCTGGAAAGGCAGCTGTGGATGACAGCCCAGTGCTTGGGCCCCTGCCACCCACACGGGAGACCAGGGTGCAGGATGACTTTTTCCTGTCTGTTCTAAGCTTTTCTTATTGGTCTCTATCTGATCTAATTTTGGGGACTCTGACGTGACCCTGATGGGCATTGCAAGAGAGGGTGGGGAGCCAAAGTTGGAACTAAGTAAGGACCAGAGAAAGCTCCTCTCCCGAGTCCGATGGAAGTTTACTGTTCTTCTGTTTCTGAGGACCGCTCAGGACTCCAGGCTGTTGTTCCGATAGATGTTGTTTATTTTTGAAAAGATGTATTTATTATTGATTTGAAAGTCGAAGTTACAGAGAGAGAGAAGGGGTGGCAAGAGAAAGAGCTTCCATCCGCTGGTTCATTCCTTAAATGGCCATAATGGCCAAGGCTGGGCCAGGCTGAAGTCAGGAGCCGGGAGCTTCTTCCAGATTTGCCATGTGGGTGCAGCAGCCCAAGGACTTGAGTGTCTTCCACTGTTTTCGCAGGCACATGAGCAGGGAACTGGATTGCAAGTGAAGCAGCCTTGACTGAAACTGGTGCCCATATGGGATGCCAGCACCGCAGGCAGCTGCTTAACATACTGTGCCACGACACTGGCTCCTTGGTCTGTGTTTGTTTATTGTTTTGTCTTGCATTTTTGGCTGGGTAAGTCTTCTTGTATCCCAGATAGTTTTGTTTGTGAATCAAAATAAATCTTTTCCTATAGAAATGTAAGCATTTTCACTTACATTTTCTTTACTCCGTTTCTTCTTCTACTGTGATCAGTTATTCCGTTACTCAGATTGCCATTGATTTTCTTTTAATTCCCCTTCATTTCAGGATAGTATATACACATACGTTTTATCCAATAAATGGTTATCATTGACCTATAACATTTGAATTTATATTTTCTTTTTTTATAGACAGATTTTTAAGTTTTCTTTAAAAAAGACTCATTTGCTTTTATTTGAAAAGCAGAGTTACAGAGAGAGAAGAAGAGACAAAGAGAGAGAGATCTTTCGGTTCCCTCCCCAAGTGGCCACAACAGCCAGAGCTGAGCTCCCCAAGTAGCCGAAGCCAGGAACCAGGAGCTTCTTCTGGGTCTTCCTCGTGGGTGAGGTGTTCCAAGGAGCTGACCCATGCTCTGCTGCTTTCCTGGGCTGCTCGTTGTCCTGCGGCGATGGACTTGGTACACAGAGCTGATAATACACATGGACTGGGCCCTGCATGGTGGCACAGTGGTTAAGGTCCTCGCCTTGCACGCCCGGGATCCCATATGGGCTCCGGTTCTATCCCGGTGGCCCCGCTTCCCTTCCAGCTCCCTGCCTGTGGCCCGGGAAAGCAGTCAAGGACGGCCCAAAGCTTTGGGACCCTGCACCCGCGTGGGAGACCCGCAAGAGGCTCCTGGCTTCGGATCGGCATAGCATCGGCCGTTGTACTCACTTGGGGAGTGAATCATCGGACGGAAGATTCTCCTCTCTGTATATCCGCCTTTCCAATTAAAAAAAAAATACACATGGACTACTGACTGATGGTTAATAGCCAAAATTTATTAACAACATCAAACTTCTTATTTTTTTACTTATTTTAAAATAAATATTTATTTTGATTGAAGAATCAGATATATAGAGAAGGAATGACAGAGAGGAAGTTCTTCCGTCCGTTGATTCACTCTCCAAGTAGCCACAACAGCCAGAGCTGAGCCGATCCAAAGCCAGAAGCCTGGAGCCTCTTCTGGGTCTCCCACACAGGTGCAGGGCCCCAAGGCTTTGGGCCATCCTCGACTGCCTTCCCAGGCCACAAGCAGGGAGCTGGATGGGAAGTGGAGCTGCTGGGACTAGAACTGGAGCCCACACAGGATCTTGATGTGTTCAAGGTGAGGACTTTAGCAGCTGGGCCACCCGTGCTGGGCCCAGCACCAGACTTTTTAAAGATAGGTGGTCACATAGGCATCAGGGAGGAAGGTTGAGGAATTTATGTTTCAACAGCAAGAGGGCGTCTCCTAATGCACATATTGTTCTTGTAGCAGGTTCCTTTCCTCTGTTCCCCTGTCTGGAGGAGGAAGCGTCTCTCTTCGATCTGTTATCTAAACCTGGGACTAGGCAGTTTCTTGCCTGTTCATTTCCACATTAACTTCTCCCAGGGCTTTTTCAGCGGGGATTGCAACCAACTCTGGCTCCACACTGTCAGGAATTCCCTAATCAATTGTTTTCCTACGGATCTGATCAATTGTCCTGTACCAGGCCACA